ACAATCAAACAAAAAACAACCTTGGACTCCCACACATCAGCCCATCGCCAAGTCCAACACCATAAACATACCTCTGACTTCTGTGGAGATGGGGTCAGGGAAAACAAACATTTTGACACTGTTTCTTACAAAATGCCAATGCTATTTCCATGAGAGTAGCCTAACTATGCCTAACCTAAAGAGGCCTTACTTCATCTCATCCTGTCTAACCTGTTTGTATCACAGCAGCAGTTGTGAGTCACTGATTCTTGCACAATTCCTATTGCCACTTGCCATGCACTTAACCAACGTAACCTAACTTAGAGTAGCCCATATGTTGAACATCATCTCAACTGACCTATCTGTTGACAGCAGCACTTAACATGATAAAGCCAATTTTTGGCTGATTTCAACTAACATTTTTATTCAGTTAATTTGTGTATGTTTGTTGACATGAGACAAAGTTGGCAACACACAAATCAAAGTACTTTAAATCACTCTGAACAACTTATATTGATTGCCATGGTTAACCTACGTCAAAAGCAATAATGAGTATGCTCCACAAAACAATTTCTCTTTACCAAAAATAACATAACTTTTGGAAGCGCCTTGCCAGTATTGCTGCCTGCCTTTTCAACTGCAGCAAAGGCATCCATTTAGGCTTGTTTATTCATATTTAATGACAAAGTTTGAGATGTTAGCTTCACATTTTACATGGGATGGTCTGGCCATTTGTTACATACCAATATTTAACTCATATTATAATTGCTATGCAGCTTGGAGTATCCCTGTGTTAATAGTGCATATATACAGTACATTCATTTGTCAGTCAGCAAACCATGACAACTATAAAAAGCATCTAGTTAAAGCGGCCATTGGGGACCACTTCAAGAAATTTGGGGCAAGTAGTCAAGAATATGGAACAAAATAAGCCCATTGCATGCCTTGTAGCATCATAATTTGTCTTATGACAAAACTCGATGAATTAAAACAGAAAATGGCTAACACTGATTACCAATCATGCGTTGAAAGCAGGTAAGGCAAGTAATTACTTGGTCCACAGGAGACGTACTGGCTTCTTCCTGCTCCCCCAAAACAAAAAGTTGGTACTTTTGCATGGTTTGCTGGCAGACAGAGTCATCCCACTCACCTCCAAATATAAATGTTTATCATGCCCACCAGCCTACAAGATTAAAATATGAAGCTAAGGGGAGGGTGTGTGTGTGCATGATAAACATCTCCAGAGGGCAGAATTTCGCCATCAAACACTTCTGTATTAACTGCGTGAGGTCTGTCCCAAAGCCCTGTATAGCAGCATTAGGATAGCCCTGTCAGGTAGCCTGGTGAGTTTAACACTCGAAAGGCTTAGATTTATCACTGTTGAGCACCGCCATGAACCAAGATAACGGTTAACCAAGGGTTTAACAGGGCAAAAATGGCGGTAGCAATAAGTTCCGTGCTTCAAATTGTCTCCTTCATTCCCTGTGGACTGTTCACTGTTGGGTGCATATCAAACATGTTTGGGCGGCTGGCGAACTAATCCAATTTATGCATGAAATACGTATAAGTTTGCAGTTGGACCATCTTGCGGGGAAATTGGTCAACATTTTAAGCAACAGATGATATCTCTAAAGGCAATCGAAGAGGAAGGAAGAATAAAGTGGTATCACACTCGTATGATACCAAGAAAAACGTAGTTAAATAGATATAAAGACTGATACGTTTTTGGCACAGTTTTGTACTCAGCTGATTTGACTCAAAGTCTGTTGACATGAGTGCTCAAATGGTGATATTCATCTTGTATATTTCATTTAGAAAACATTTATCGGTTTATTCACTCCTGCATTTCTGGAGTGATGCAATTTACTGGTCAATTTTCTTCGGGAGAAAATAAATACGTGGGGTAAAATTGCCTTCCAGGCCTTGGTGGTGCTTGCACCAGGGTCTGCTTTCGTGGTGTGGTGGTGAGACCAAAAAATAGGGGATGCGTGAAAACCTTGCATTTGGCACACAGCTGCCGATTGTGACGCATTTTGTAAACAAACCAAACTTAATGCGTGCAAGCGGCTGGGTCGCTGGGGTTCTTGGGCTTGGAGGTACCTGGCGCCCTTGCTCTGTGCGTACATAGACATGATTCAGATGTAGGTGAGGCAGGACATAGCCACAGGTGTCCAGGTTCTGTGGAGCCTCGCTTTTGCTTAGTGGTTTCAAGTGAGCTGTTTTGGATGACATCTAAAAACCTCAGAAAGAGGAATAGGGGTTTGGCATGTGCGATTAGGCAATGCCAGGCATGAGTGAAAAATTCACGTAAAATATGGAGAGAGGGAGGGAAAAATTCCTCCCCTTGAGGTGTTGCTTTACACCCAAAGTCGGCAATTCTAGGGCACTACATTTACATGATGCATAATCAGCATGCTCATGCTGCACAAGTGGACGTATAGAGGCGGTAAGTACAGAAATATGGCAAGACGGTAAATGCCATGCCTTCTTGCCCAAACGTGATTGTGAAAATCCTTTCGTCACGATGTTCGCACGCGCGCTTCGCGCCTCCGATCCGCATGATGCTGCCGCAGGCGAAGACAAGGCTCGAAATATGAGGGAAGGGAGCTCACATCACAGACTCCTCTAGCCCACAGATGTGGTGCAGTGTCGCATCTGCTGACGGGCCATGTGTGCCGCGGCCCCGCGTTACGTAAGTCGCATGATTCTGCGCCGACGGACGCCGCGGCCGACTCAACTCGCCGATGGGAGGGTCGGGTAACCGTCCCGAAATATACAAATTATCAAAGATCCCTTGGTTTAGCTGAAGCCAAGCAAATAATAAAATCAAGATGGTTTCCGTGGAATGCCTTCGGCAGGTTGGTGTTGATGTTACTTGCAATAGATTACGAGGCGCACGAGACATTGCAGACATGGCTCCGTGCGGAATGGATACTGTTCCTTACGTAAGCCACTGGATTGGCTGGGCTCACTCGGCGAATTGGCTCAGGGTCGTGATCGTGCGGTTGCAGGTCATGCTGTGAGGAGTGCGGCGTGGTTCCGACCCACGTGATGCCGGCGCTTCAAAGTCATCATTCACCCCACTTAACATATTGGCTTTTCGTTTACTTGCTGTGCATTTCGTTTGTAAAGGATCAGCGTTGGGCAGCCGCGAGGCAGCTGCGTAACGTTGCAAATTCGCACGCTTGTTCTCCAGTACGTGGAACCAGGAATGTCGCTAAACGGCAAGGGTGATTGATTGTCGTGCAGCCGTGTGTTGGCTTCTCCGGCTGCACCGAGGATCGTTTGGCTCTGAAATAAACGGTGCCCGAGCTGCACTAAATACCAGCCCCCCCCCCCCTCTCTGCTGAACACCAGGCCGATTCCCCGCCTGAACAGTTGGCAGTCCTCCGTGACGTGCAGCTGGCAGTCCTCCGTGACGTGCAGCTGGCAGTCCTCAGTGACGTGCAGCTGGCAGTCCTCCGTGACGTGCAGCTGGTGGTCCTCCGTGACGTGCAGCTGGCAGTCCTCAGTGACGTTAAGTCGCGAGGAAGCCTCGGCTCAGATATGTGGGTTGCCCGGTGAAAAAGCACAGTTTCAGCTTACATGTAGACACAATTTCATGAGCGATACTCCAAATGTAACCATTTTGAATTTTTAGTGTTAGCATGTTTTGATGCTTTTGAATTCGCTTCATGTAAACATCCATTTAAATCTACCGAAATTCACTCGTTGAAAGCACTGCAGGACCTGTCCAACGTTATCATCGGTTTACATATTCTCCTGTTACTTTAATCATAACGAAGGCAACAAAATGCAAAATGAACTTTTTCCCGTACGGGGCACATTGCAACATTTTGCAACACATTTCCCTTTCCCCACTCGAGCACGCATTGACGGTAGTGTTCCAGTTTCTGGGTTTCTGAGTTGAGGTTCTGAGTTAACGTTCTGTGGAGCACGCCCGCGAAAAGACTTCTGTGCTGATTATGTCAAGGTCACCCAGGCATCCATCACGTCATGCAAACGTCATTCATATCATGGCATTTCATTAGCCGTGCGGCGATCAAGGCAAATATAAATATAGTTGGCGAGTGGTTTATATCTAGTGTTCGTATGTACGATTTCCAAATAGAATGGCCGTCAATTGGTTCTCAATTACTTTTGTGCAGCTTATGATAACGCAAATAATAAATGGTGTTGAGAAGCATGTTTATTAAATAGAGACGCGTGTCGTCTGAAGCATTCTTTTCCACTTAAGATTATACCAATAGTTATATGTAAGGTTATTCCACCGCATCTGATGCTTGCTCCAGTTTCTTCAAATACGGAACACTCCCCTTAAAAGTGAAGCGACATGCTGCTAAGGATGTTTTGTAAGCAAAGTTCGTGATATTCGCGGGATGGCGGACATGATCAGGTAACTAAAAGTGCCCCGCCCACAGTCCAGCGTTAACATAGCCATGCGGTAGCACAGGCAGCACGTCAACACGACGCTATCATTACAGGGAATGAACAAGTCGCTGCAGCCCAGCTAAGAAATAGTGAAACAAACGAAATATAAGTAAGAACAGCTGGTCTATTTGCACCTTAGATAAAGAAGCAATCACAAAAAACAGTGGTGAAGATATGCATCCGTATATGTCCGTATATGTTAATCATTGTAACCAAAACTGATGTCTGCGATATCTGAATGGGAACAAACGCTTCCTTGCGCACACTTGGGCGGTTAACAAAAATCAAACTGTCTCCGTTTCACCTCTTCATTCCCACCCCCTCCAAGCAGCATCCAAGATACTTCCCGTCCAAACGCACGATGCTTCGAGTAGTGCAATTCATTTTAGGGGATTCATTTTATTCACTTTTGTCCTCTGACGAAGTATAACGCAGCTACCATAGCTGGACATAGGCTCATGCCTTATTGCCTTTCAGACAGCTGCTTCATCCGTGTTTTGTCGGTGCAGGGATGTCGGCACATGATGCAAGACACCGCGCGCCCGGTTCCGCGTGCCTGGATATGACTCGTCCTCCTCCGGCCTTTGCAGGCGTGTTGTTCAGCATAGAGGTGACGTCGGTGTACTTTGCCGTTCGGAACTACTGGCGCGGCTTCTTCGCTGCCGTCTGCGGCGCCATGGTGTTCCGCCTTCTAGCCGTCTGGTTTGAGGATGAAGGTAGGTGTGCAATGGTTTGAGGACCAATTGCAATCTAGCGCAGGATTTTCCATGGCGCCAAACACTATATCTGGTATACAAATATTTCGTACGGTGAACCCTTGTAGTATTGAGTGAGGAATTGTTAGGAGACTCCTTTGAGAAACAATCTCAAATCTGTGCGTGGAGTTTTCAAACGCACTTCAAACGCACACCCAAATGATGCATGCAAAGTACAGCTGGACGCTCTCCGTGGTTTTCTCCGGCCCCGCCCCCCCCCCCCCCCCCCGCTCCCCGCTGCTCGTGACCGGGTGACAGCAAGATCCAACGAGATCGGCGAAGTTCAGCGTCGAGTGGAACGCTTAACTCGGTCTATTGCCTGCTCGTGCTTGATTTTTCCAAGTGAGCTTGGTATTAGTCTCACATTTTAACTTGCTGTGATACTGCCTTGAATAATGAGGAATATTTTGGCGCACATCTGGAAATTACTTATTGTCAGAAAGCGAAAAGTAGTGTATAAATAACGTATTTTAGATTTCCAAAAGCACGCACACACACACACACACACACACACACACACACACACACACACACACACACACACACACACACACACACACACACACACACCACACACACACACACACACACACACACACACACACATACACACACACACACACACATATATATATATACATATGTAGATGTATTTGAATTTCCAGAATACGGGTATGAGTACGTCTTTGGGTACGGGTATGAGCACCATGAGCACTCCTCGTCCTGATTCTGGTAAATATTAACCCAGTGCAGAAAACCGCAGAATGCCGCAGTGCTCGGTGTGGTCTGTCGCGCCCGGTGCGTCACGTGACCTTTGGCGCTACCGCTTCCGCTGGCCGCAGGTCATCTCATTTGGGGCAAGCAGCGAACTCTCGGCAACTCGAACCCTAACCGGCACCGGTTGGGGAATCGGAAGGTGGACGCTGGAGCCGACAGGACTATTTGGGCAGACAAATGTGGCCTATTATTAATGCCGCCGTTTTAATAACATTTATGCTTTCATGGATTTGATCAGGAGGGGGAAAAACGCCGAAGAGGAATGCATTGTACTTATCCTTGCTGCATTGGAATTGCGTGGCAGCTGCCAGTTCATGGCACGCAGCTCAAATTTCATGTTGAGAAATACTTTCATGCGTTTCATGCCCAGACGTCTTTCTCACATCTTGTAGCTTAATGTCATGATGCATCATATCTTAAATAGGGTGTAGTCTAATTTCTCCCGAGTGCGCGTCCTCGCGTCGCTGGTAGCCTCTTCGAACACTCAGATCATTTGTTAGGGCTTCGTTCTGTACGTGCTGTTTGGCAATATAGTTTTGAATCTTGGTTTGATAGTTGATAAAAAGTTGTAACATGCAAGTGGCCCTTCCATTCCGCAGCAAGGTCCTTTCCGCCAGCCCAAGCAGGGATCTTGACAGCCAAAACGCCAGGACTTAGAGCAGATTTAGGAAATATTACCATGTTGTGACGACCAATCGTCGCCGTTTGGTGGGGCAATAACTCCTCCTCATCAATGACGATGAAGACCACCTCACCAGAGATGTTTGAATGGCGCCTTTTAAAACCCATAGCGTTCCTTCAAGGATCCCTGTACCAAAATCCTGGGTGGGCGTACACTGCTGCTAAAATGGAGGTCGCCCTGGCCTTTACCGATGAAATTGTATTTCGGTGACCTGATGTAGCACCTAGAAATGGCCAAAAATGTTTTAAATTGTTTTCTGATTGGTGCTGGAAATTTGGCAACCTGCATGGATATGTTAGGTACTTCTGAGCCTTTGAGAGGCAGCCCCTCTCCCAGGCGGTCACGGGTTAAACATCCGCGGGGTTTTCTGGACGTTTACATCTACGTTGCATTCTTGTGGCGATTGCCAAGTATGACATTCTATGTAGGTATTTGGTGCTGAGGTATGCACGTAACGCGCGCCCTTCACATGCTTCGTGGCAATTTTGCACAGTTTGCTAGTATTTCCACGGCCAGTAGTACCAGGCCAGGTTACCAGCATCCATACAAATTTGCTCAGAATTTCTGCGTCGTTTTATTCAAAAACAATATCCCAGGCAGACTAGCCGCACCTTTCACGAAAAGGAAAAGCTGATGAGCTTGGAAAAACTGTAGTTTGGTAAATGTTTGCTGCCCGCCCCCCCTTCCCACATATGCTTCGCTCGTTGACTCCATGCAATAATTCCAACCTTTACCATTTTCAGAAACGATAACTGCCTTATTCAAGACAGACTTCAAGGTGGATTTTCCATTTGATCCACAAGAGCTGTTTGTTTTTGCACTAATTGGGTAAGCCGGTTTAGTATCTGCAGCGAGTCGTATACCGTGGTTCGCAAAACATTGGTCTTACACTGGCTATGAAATACTTGCTGAGTCTAAGTTATATCCTTTGAAAACTCACAACACTCTGCCAGAAAATTTTCTTCCGTTGTTACTGCACCGAGTACGTTTCCAGTAGCTGTTGTTGTAGGTTATTCGGTTTAGAAAGGAATAATCTTGTCACGAGTGACATACATACATCAACGGTGTAGGCATTGGCAGAATTTCCTGTCATGGTCATTTTCTAAAAGCATGCGTTATATAACAATGCGACGTTTCGTATAGTGGCTTGCATCAGTCAGTGTGCGAGACGGCCTCATGCCAGATAACTAGACTACGACGTTCAGTAGGGCGGGTTAGTGGAGCCGTCTCACAAACTCGCTGGTGATCGCAACATCTGTGGCCTGTCCGCGCTGCTGTCTCGACTAACCCTTCTGACTTTCAGGGCTGTGGCCGGCTTCGCTGGTGCATTCTTCGTGTGGCTACACAGGACATACGTTGTCTTCATGAGAAGCAACGCCTGCATGAAGAGCTTCCTCTCGAAAAAGTGCGTCAGAACTAACGGCCTTGGTTTGTTCCGCGGGGTGTGGCCATCGAACCGTGAAAGCCAGTGACATCGCTATTGTGATGTGTTCACCTGTTATTGTTAACGAACTGCTCTCGTTTGGTGTATTTCTATCACGTCGCTTGCGGTCGTGACGGTGGGCTTCACGTGCCTCCAACAGCTTGCTTGAATGTATTGTACCATCTACTTCACTTCAAGCCTGATTTAGTTCGGAATGCCAGTGTGTAAGGCATGTGTTTGTGTTGTAAGTGTTCACATCTCTGTCCTTGAAGCACCGTCGTCCGCGGGCTGGGCCGAAAGCCATCCGTGTCTTTAGACAAATCACTTCTGCTAAAAACCGTCGGCGGCCGCCGGCCAGCGCGGTTGAGCGTCATTCACGTATCAGCGTCGACGGCGGGGAGTTTGTTAATTCATCGCCGCCTTTTCCGAGCCATTCGGCACGCGCGCTGCTCGTTTGAGTTTCGAATCGCCCGTTCTGTCGACGCTCCCGGCCGCCGCACCTCCGATGCGATGCGCGTGTCGCTCGCGCTCCCTCCGGACGGCTGTGGCAGGACTCACTCTAACCGCTGCCGATGCCGCCCGGCTGCCTGCCACAGTCGCTTCCTGTACCCGTTTCTGGTGGCGCTGTTGATCTCGTCTGCCACCTTTCCCCTGGGTCTGGGGCAGTTCCTCGCGGCCGACCAGACCACTCATGATCAGGTTAGTGAGCTTAGGCTTTCAACTCCCCCCGTAATGTGAGCGCAACCTTTCAACTCACCCCGTAAGGTGAGCTCAAGCTTACAACCCACCCGGTAGATGGCGTGGATGCGCTGTCAGTGTGCGATCCTGCCTTGCCTGCGTGATTTTCAGGTTTTTAAACGTTCAGGTGTATTATATAGTCTCAAATGTGTAGCAAGCCACGATGACCGCCACTGGAGCCGATGCCCCTAGATGTTTTCGAATGTTTAAAGCTGTTGTTCTTGCATTATCTTGGCGGCGTCTGATGAAGCCAGCATCTGCAAGTGGATTATTCCAGAAAAGATCAGCCTTTTACAAGATTGAATGATTTAATGGACCACAGTTATGATCCATGAGACGAGAAAGGCTAGTCAAATGCAAGTTTCTAAAGTTTCAGCGTTAATGTCTGTCGTCATTGTCAACATATCTTTGTGTGCCGGCTTTCAGGTTTTGGAGTTATTCGCGAACTTCACTTGGTCTTCTGAAGAGCTCTCTGTAGACGAAGCCGAAGCAGTGGATCACTGGACAAATCCATACACCAACTTCTACATCAACTTGTGCATATACATCTTAGTCACGGTGCGTATCCTACCACTCGCTCCCTCAGTAGAGTGCTCTGGTGTCGGTCAGGGGTGGTATAGGTGGCAGCACAATCGAAGCGGTCGTGGCTGGGCCGCGGATCAGTGCAGCCAGCGTGTCCCTGACTGTGTGTTGGTGCGGGGTGTTTTGTGCAGGTGCATAACTCATTTTTTTGTGTTTGTACGCACGTGCGCTCTAGGGTCTCATTCCAGTTAGACTAAAACTGGAGTCCGGACTTCTAACGTTTCGGAACGTGGAATCCAATAATAGGATTATGGCGTGGATAGATCAGACATTTGGTGCACTTATTTGAAAACAAAAAGATAGGATTGGGACCTGGAATAGTATTCAGTATCCAAAGATTGAGACTGGGGCTCGAACTGGGTTCTGGAAACGATTTCTGAAGCATAAAACGCTGACAAAATTCGTTCACATTTAAGTTACGACCATGATGACTTTCAAATACATGTGAACGAGATAAAGATCAGCACTTAATACTCTCGCACATTTTGTCAGCTTTTGCATCAGGACTGAGCACCCATGACCAGTGAAACACGTGACATTGGATAGATGTTATCACTATTTGTCACTGTATCGGACCCACAATGAAAATTAACAGAAACTTCGGTAGGTTATGTGTCGGGCTCGGGTGTTCGTGACCTACGGAAAATGCTTAGTTTGGTGGATGTTTTCATTTTGACTGCAATCATGCCATGTATTGTTTAATTATTTTTAAGGTGACATGGTCAAAGACATGGATATAAACGTGTTACGAACGGTCTTTTATCATTGTTAATAGTGAGGTGCGTTTCTTTGCACAAAATAAGAAATATCGCCCCTCCGTCCTGGATTTGTATTCGGAAGGCAAAACACTGTGTGAAAGAAGCGATGTGTGGAATAGGCGTTTCACCAGAATGCAGGGCAGGGATCAGTCGCTTGCAAAGAGTGACTGCTTACGAGCTCATCACCTTTGAACGGCATCCATGCAACAAAACCGAACGTTTATAGGCATGTTCGGCTGCGGAGGTCGTGGCGAAACTCACAGCACGTCTCCAAAATGCTCACGTTAGATTTCAATATAAGGTATTAGTGGCATTACGCTGTGAGTGAGCGCCCGGTCCATCAAAGTGCAAATCAGGAAACAAATGACACGATGCACGGAGCTAAAGATAAGCACACTGGGCGCTTCTTAAATGGATGATGAGAACCATAGTTAATTTGATCGGACAAGGGTCAAGGCGACAGGGGTATCAACATTAGGTAAAAACACTCTGGAACCTGACGTTGTAATGATATATTTCCATGGGGTGGTAATTGTCTGTCCGTACAACTACCACGATCTCACGTCTGTTCGTACTCGTTTCATATCTGTCCGGACTTAAGATCTCAGTATACATGGTAAACAGTCGCTTCAGGAGGACTCAAAATGCATACATGTAGTGGTGCATTAACGTGGGCTCTGGCGGGGGTCAAACTGACTCCTCCCGAAGGTTTTTCCAGAATGGTTTCTGACTGGCGCGGCGCAGCCGCACCAAATTTTGCATAGCTGTAGATAGCTGAATAGTGGATCGTTTGGTATTGAAAAATTGGGTGTATGTTGTAAGGTCGCTGACCTACGGTAGGCCAAAGTCAGGCCATAGGTTCTGCGTAGTCAGTGCCTAGGGAATCGTGCAATCTGCAGCAACAACGGAGCGTCAGACGAGACCATGCATATCGCAGATGCTTTCTTAGGCAACACAACAATTCAATGAATAAATTCCATTAACCTAGGGTCAGTTTTGAAGGCCAGACAAAGCTCAAACATTTTTTATTCTAGGGCTCGCTATGTGGAGTAGTTTTTTATATGGGGTATCTTTTTTAGTTCCTGAGATCTCAGCGGGGTCATATTGACCCCCCGAACGAAGGGTATGTATCCGACCACCCGGACGGGTGTTAACGTGTCCATAATCCCGTCAGTTTTCCCAGCATAACTGGTCATGTCCTTGCCAACTGCGCACAATATTGTGGACAAAGACGGCTGAAAATACGAAAACAAGTAAAATTTCCGAACACGCATCACGTGAAAGTGCTTACCGGCTGCTGCTGTGATTACAATAGCGCAGGTCATAGGGAATATGGCGACATGCGACATTTTAGCGGCGCGTGCACGAACTGTCACGCAGGGACACTTAGCTGTATGGCGCAGACACCGGCAGGTTCGTTGCCAGCACCCATCGTTCATGCTTCATATCAGGCATTGTTTAATGCTGTCAGCGTCTGCCAGCAAAGCATAAGCCCGATGCACACGTTGCGAGGTTCAAAAGGAATGAAATCAGTGGTGTTTTGCGGTTTCTTTTAATCGTTCTGGTTTCAACACGCATCACAAAGTCCTATCAGGCATTCTTTGGAGCTGCCGTAAAAAGTGATCACCAGCGGCATTTGAGAGGCAGGAGTACGCACCGCGTTACAGCGTTTCGCGGCCCGTTGCTGTATGAGCTCCAAGTACTCTGGAGTGTCCTGCAGCTTATGGCCCTGATGACATCGTTCTGCACTCCGCAGCGTCCCGCCAATGAAAGCCCGGCGACAACACTCGATAACAAGTGTGATTATGGATCGCTGATTTTGCCTGCTTACTATGCGACAACTTTGAATTTATTCGCGCTGAACAAGCCTGTATTGACCAAGGAACTCAGAACGAAGAGCCTATGCCAAATGGAGAAACTTTGAGAGCATCTTATAGGACGACTTATGCGACGCAAAATTCGAATATTGAATACCGCGATGCGCTTTGGGATATTTTTACGCATCTGTTTTGCATCTGATCACACGAAGTTTGTTTAAATAAGGTAAACTTTGGTGAAAACTTGACGGCAAACGTAGTTTGTAGTGGGTCCAAATGAAATGTTACCGGGATCAAAAGTCACAAACCGTTTCCATCGGGCATTCTGCATAGGGTTTCGCAGAGAGCCTGGCCGTTCGCAAGGCAAATGGCAACTGTTCTGGTGTGTTTTAGTTGTGTTGAATGTGGCCCCAGTGGTTATTACGTGTAGTCCGAACCACATTCTGCAATCCGCGATTCAAGTTTGTCGACGTTACGAAAAGGCGTATTGCATTGGGTGCATCTCCATTGTTTTTGTGCGGTATTTGTGAGGTGCACAGACCACAAATTGTTTGGAAGCATTGCATGCTGTTTTAGAACTTCTCCATCAAATGCACAGAGCGACGTTACATCAAAAGCTGTCTTGACGCGGAATGCAAGCACTAAAGCCTTGCTATCCAGAGTACCGGTGTAATCAGCCGCATTAAAGGGTCATGCCACATTTTTCGTGTTTGTCACTTATTGTTGGATCAGACGCGTCCGATTTCGTTGCTACTGGTTTTTTTATACCAGTTCACTCGAAATCCATCTGCACAGTCCATGATTTCAATTGGAAGTGGTCGCTCCTGCGGGATAAATCTTAGTGGACTTCCTGCCCACCGCTACGAAATAAATACATTTAAATTGCCTACCTTTTTCCAATGTGTGTATTTTGTGATATTTGCAACATGTCAAATTGTCAAAATGCTTGTGTACCAAACGCTACGAAAGCTGGAAACACTTTTTAGAGAAAAGGATTTGCGAACATGAAACTTTTTGTCCTGCCATTTCAACCATACGTTATAATAAGTAGGCGCTTTGCTTTGGTTTTCCCCTGAAACGTTTAGCAACGCGGCTCTTTTCAAAGCGCAGCTGAGCTTTCAGAAACGGAGAATGACATGGTCGAAGGTCACACACCGTTCAAACTTCAAACCATGCGCTTCTCGGTAACTAATCTTTGCCGCCCGCTGTGCCAATCACAAGCATTCATTTTGACTGACGTCGTTCAAACCAGTAGAGGTGCCCTTTTTGTGGCCGCAGGCCCGCAAGGTGCAGGTTAAAACAAACCAAAAGTGGTACCGCTAACTCGAACAGCTGACAGCGGCCCTCAGCAGATTCTGCCGTCGTCATGACAACGGTGCTCATGGCGGCAACGGTCGTGACAACAGCAGTTGTCGCGGACTCTGGATACACTCTGGGACTACCAAGCAAGAAAGAAATGTAGTGCCGCCACGAAGTGTCGATAGCGTAATTTTATGTTTTGACTTAACCTTAACTTTTTTAAAACTTGAAAATAACTCGTTATGCTATTCAAGATGAAACAGCGATTGCTATTAAATACAACGAAGACCTAGTTCATGTAGGCGACAGCAGCTCGCGCACGAAACGCGTACGCTTGTGAAAAAGTCAAACGAGTGGTCATCGTTCGAAACGTATGTAAAATCATTTCCTGTAGGTGGCGAAAATTGACAGTTTACACACCGTGCGCTCAAGTGCGCGATAGAATCGTAAGCCCTGCAAAAAAACGTGACTGCCTAGAACCATGTCAGTTGAAATGCCCGCATTCATATCTGAACACCGGTCTCTAGCAAGACAAGTGGGTGCCCTGGACTGGAGCCGTAATTGCAGCTTTGCTTTTCCATTTCAGTGGCAATAGGAGATGTTCGGTACCTGTCATATCACAATAACCCTGATGTGCCACAAAAGAGGAAGAAATGGTATGCCACGCAACCGAAATGATTCCACGGGATCATTTCAAGAAAAACAATTTCAGCGAAAAGGGACGGAACAAAATGAATGCGACGACAGCGTGCTGCTCTAGTCAGTCTGTCTTATAACTTATGTTTATATCCAGACGGAATTTCAGGAACTTAGAAGGAAGACAAATGACAAAATCCAGGACATATTGAGACAGAAAGTTGGAAAACAGTTTTTTTAACGCTTTATTTGACCCTGCAAATATAATCGTCGCAGTCGCATTTAAGGATGCCATTACGTCATTGGTCCTTTTGATGATCTTCGTCTTGAGCCAATCTCTACCTTTGCTTGTCCAAATCACTTTGAAGGACCATCGGTATTTGGTTGCTAATGCTGCTAAGATCGGTTATTATATATGTTTCGTCACTGGCCCTTTTGATGATCTTAACCTTGAGCCAGTCTCTACCTTCGCTTGTCCTAATCATTTTCAACGAGCACAGATATGTGGCTGCTAATGCCGCTAAAATCATTTATATGTGCTCCTCTCCCATGATCCACAGGGTTCCTAGCACTTCCAAAGAACAGACGTTGGACCCCGGGCAGACACAGAGAGCTCCGGTTGCTGACTTGCTTAACATGCAAGGCGTTGATAAGAAAGTGGGTCTTAAACGAATCCTGGCAACCAGAGGGTTTAACTTACAGTGTTGGAGGAGTTGTGCCCGATAGAGAAATGATTAGCGCTTCCTTAGAAATCAGCATTTGTACGCTTGCATAATATTATACAATTCACGGCCCGCTGGTGGTTTGCTGTGGTCGTGCTTCGTTGCATAGTGCTAGCCCGCCCTGTTTTTTTTTTTAATTCAGAAAGACGAGTGGCATGTAGCCACTGGTGTCCTGCCGCAAAGTACGGTCATGTTAACGGTGCGACGTCCTGCCGCGGTGCTCAGGTGCTGTCCGCTGATGCTCGTTTCAAGTTCTGTGCGCCTGCGGTGTCGGTGTCACGTCCCACCCTAGTGTGGAGGTGCCGGTCGTGGCTGTTCCGCCCAGCTCTGTATGGCAGCAGGACCGATGTCTCACCCTGCCGTGGTGATGACGCGGCCGCCGCTGCTGTTTCACCGCAGTTCTGTATGGCAGCAGGACCGATGTCTCACCCTGCCGCGATGATGACGCGGCCGCCGCTGCTGTTTCGCCGCAGTTCTGTATGGCAGCAGGACCGATGTCTCACCCTGCCGCGGTGATGACGCGGCTGCCGCTGCTGTTTCGCCGCAGTTCTGTATGACAGCAGGACCGATGTCTCACCCTGCCGCGGTGATGACGCGGCTGCCGCTGCTGTTTCGCCGCAGTTCTGTATGGCTGTGGTGGCGTCCACCCTCCCGGTGCCGTCCGGCATCTTCATCCCCGTGTTCAAGATGGGCGCGGCGTTCGGCCGTCTGGTCGGCGAGTGTCTGGCAATGTGGTTCCCGCAGGGGGTCCGCTACGGAGGCCACATCTCCCCCATCCGTCCAGGTCAGTGGTGACGGTCAGCTCCGATGCGTCACGTCAAGCCGGCGCGTGCCTGACGTCTGCCTTCACTGTCGTGCTGTGTGGAAAACAACTCTCTCAATGCCTGCCGACATAACATCAGTGTCTTCTGGTACATCCCATGCAGTTGTGATCATCGTGCATCCGTAGTGTTGTCACAATGTTGACAAAAGTAGAGACAACTGTATCTTAAAAAGGTGTGAGTAATAACGCTTTTGTTCACCAATGGCTATTTATGGCGGCACTACTCCGCTGATATCCCAGTTTGATAGTTTTATACCCCCCCCCCCCCCCTTCTTAACCCCTGAAGAATCATTGAATCAGTGGAGATTATCCGATACATCAGACGATACTCATGATTTCCTACGACCCAGTTACCTGTCAGCTTATTGACCTGCACGCCGCTAGTAAGGTTACAAGTCCAGTTAAAAGTAGCGGCATTTGGAAAGTTTGTAGGTATATACTGAATGCCCCATGTAAAATTGATCGAATGCCTTCGGTGGTACTTACTATATATATATATATATATATATATATATATATATATATATATATATATTCATAACTGTCTGTTTAACGTGATGGCAGTAACACGAGTAAATTGAATTAAATAGATGAACCAGAACGTTTGCTCCAACTTACGCACACACTGACGTGCAAACTCAGAAGCTGCTACCCGCCAGCAAAGCGTCGCCGGAAAAGATCCGCTTTTTCCAAAGTCGCAGTCTCAAAGAGCAAAAGAACTATAATTTTGTTTTGCAGCTCCTAAATCAGTTCTAGGAAACGTTGTCAAAACAGGTAACCCCTCAACAGGAATACCTTTGCTACGAATGGTTAATTTAATATATCATTGTGATTGCTGCTGCACGTACGAGACTTGCAGCGGCAAATAGTATTAGCAAGATTTGGGGTATTTCGGCAATATATAACATCATCATTTCCGACATCAGCGTCACGTGTTCTCTCGGTATTCTCAACGCGTGCATGCGGCCTGACATCGCTTAAGTGAAATACAAGTTAATTGCAAGTTAATTGCAAATCAAACAGGATGGTGGGAGATCCGAGGTAAACACGCCGTTGGCATTACGTGGGGGAAATGGCAATGCATAATTTACGAAGTGGCAGGTAATGACCGTGCTCACGTGGGGCTGCAGACAATGACATTATTCGTCGACGCCGCGATTCTCGACGTCGCATTAGCGGAGTGACGGTGATGTGTAATCACACGGCGTGGCTAGTCAAACCTGCCTCGTATCGGTGGCCCTTTGACCTCCCGCGAATCACGGACGCGCCGCCGTCCGCTGCGTGCTCTGCTCGCCTGCCCACAGTTTAGAGTTAGAGGACGACGCTCTTTACCTGGCGTGTGGTCAGGTCAACATGTCCGACCCGTCACAGCACTGCGTAAGGCGGCCCTTTGAACCGCACGTTGCCAACGACATTTTTTTCTGGGTTCCCTCACCGCTGTGGGCAGCGGCTGCCTTCAGCTGTTGCCGGCCTCTGATCTTTACTTTCGTTTTGTCGAGAAGAGCACATTCTTTTGCAAATCACCGCTCAGAACGATGTTGGATGGCTTCGCTGAATGCGACCGCGGTATTTGTTTTGGTGGTCTGACGGGCCATTTCGCTCAGCCGCTCCCCAGTCGCCGGAGCTGGTCCGTCGGGTGGAGCGTCCATCTTCGGCGCTCTGCGTCCCGCGCCGCGACTCGGTCCGTTTTGCCAGCTTCCACCACCGGGGGCTCGGCTGTGGAGCGGCTCGGCAGCATGTGTTCACGGGCCTGCGGAGCCGAGCCCCCGGACCCGTGTAATACGGCTGGCGCGGGTACATTCTGCGGAGGGCCAAACTCCGCCTCCTCGGCTGACAAAAGCACAAAAACCAATGCTCACAATCAGACCACCCAGTTTCCGCTACTCTGTTGTCCCGGCCCCTCAGCCAGCCGCTGCTTGAACATGATTATTGTCAGAACTCTTGGGAGTTCAACCCCTTTGGCCCACCGTATTGTATATGCGAAGCCAATCCAAATGTTTTCTACCATTGTGTTACGCAGCCGGCGCGACCCACACTATACACATTTGTAACAGCCAATGTCTGCAACTACAATTGCCCGCTCTCCCCCCCCCCCGCCCCAACCTCCAACCACCGAGCTTGGAGCTCAGGTTGGCCAGACCGTCTGTCCCATCCTTATTCGTATGCATCGGGTATCTGTGTTATTCTTCTCATGAAGTATTTCATTGTTATATTAACCGTGTTGGTGTTCGATTAGACCGGTTCCAAAGTCGGAGAAAACATCAGGCATGCACTGGCACGGTTGCCAGTAGCGTTAGCCGGCCTTTCCTCCAAACCTCTGGATGGTGTGTTCACGGAGACGGTCTGTTCCGACATCGCACGATCCAGGAATTGTTGGCAGTTGCCACAGATATTCCGCAAAGTTCGGAGAAGTTTGTTCAATCAAGAAGTGCGACAATCCCGGGGAGGATCCAATCAGGGGAACATTGCTTCCCGCAAAGCTGCTGGGCTGCGACAGCTTCCACATAGCAACACAGCTCGAATCGCCACTGTGTGTTACCACTTAGATGCAGTTCACAACACGGGCGTGGCGGTGAGTGTAATGATGTTTCCATATTTGCGTGATCTAGAACAGCTTGTGGTGCAACCGGTGCCTTTGCTTCTGCTGTGCCATTGCAGTTTCATTAACGAACTATTGTGCCCTGCAGTTCAAATTCAGCTGAAGCTGCAACTTTGTTTTCTTAATGCAGAGGGGAGTTTTCTTTTCAGTCGTGTCAGTTGTGTGTCAGTTGTGGCGCCCCCCTCCCCCACAGACGTTTTGAGAAAAAGTCGTTCAGATCCCGAGACAAACACATTTTTTCTCATTGTGAGAGCAGGAATGGCCATCTTTCCTATTCAGCTTCCAACATATGCTGTCGAAATACGTCCTTCACTCACTGTGACGGTTGTGCTTCGTGGTGAATGTAATTATTCAGCTGGGATTAATTTGTACGTACCTTTTTTGGCTTCGCAAGTGACATGATTCATTCATGACGTCATTTACTGGCGAGCTCCGTGCATGCTTGAGGTGGACAGAGAAGAGGACAAATGTGAATTAAAATGCATGTCTGTCAGGCTTGGATACGTGCTAACGTGGTGTTGTTGACCAAACACAAAATCCACAGGCATTATTTTGCGTAATTATCCCAAACAATATTCAGCTTATCGTTGCAACACCCCTTTTTGGGCACGAGCTATCATTTCAAGTGAGTACCCCGCTTTTTTGTTCGTTCACTCATTGCTACACCAGACGTGTGCAAGTTGATCAGCAATGCAATCTCTTTTCGAAGTCCTCCTGAATAGCTTAGGATGTTTAGTTGAAGTAGCGACCCTGCGGGAAAAATCTCATTTGACTCCCTGCCCACCACTATGAAAGAAATACATTAATTTGCATTGATTTCTATTTTGTGTGTTCTGTCACACTCGAAAGTATCAAAATGTTTGTGAACTAAATGCTGCGAATGCTCGAGACATTCCGCTTAGACAACACAATATGAGAACATGAGGATGTTATCCCGCGAATTCGATAAAACGTTATACTGCGGCTTTCATTTCTCCCCTCTGACGTTCGCCAAAATGTCTCTTTTCGAGGTGCACTTTGGTTTTGGAGATAGAAGAATCACATGATCCTTGTGACGCACTAGTTCAAGCTTCAAACAATGCGCCTCTCGGTAACAGGCCTCTGCCCGATCGGCCAATCACAACGTTTTCTTTCGCACCCAGGGAGATTTTCAGTGGTTTCCTGGATAAAGATAGCTGCGACTGCAGGAAAGAAACGTAATGTTGTAACAAAGCCTCGGCAGCGTTATTTCGACCTTAAGATAATTAAAATTGGCCTCCTTGGTTCATATTAACAGTCCTGCAATGGCAGTAACCAATGCTAGCATTAGACGAACTAGTTCTGAGGTTTCACAAGAGTATGTTTTTAAAATATGCTTCAAAGGCGGCATACTACTTCCTTTAATCAAGCACTCCCAATGGGCACAGTACAAATTTGCGTTTTAACATTCCTGCGAAAACACCCACTGAGCACAGCTCTCATATTTCAGTGCCGCGACACGCCCCGACAAAACTCTTCTCTTCTCAGAGCAGCACGCACACGATGATCCCCTCCAGCAACACTGGTCGCAGCGGTGTCACTGTACCACATTCACAAGCATCCAGTCGCTATGCTCACCATAGCAACATTACCTCCACGACCCATACATAAACAGCCCAGTGCAGACGATGCTTACCTCTGTCGGACCGCGGGCCGTGGACAACGCGTTCCCAGAGGCGCCCTCCTTTTCGGGACGCTCGCAGGCGACCCTGCTCAGCTGACGCCAGCCGTGACCGCCGCCCCGTCCGAGCCCGACCGGAAAGAGCTCGCGTGCATGGAGAGTCAGCTGGGAACCGGCCCCGTAGGATTCGGCCCGTGCTTCCTATCGGCAGCATCGCCTCGTTCGTAGCCTTCGTGTTATCACGGAGATAGCTAGTAAGACCTGGGTAATGATTTGAGGAACCTTACCCGTACAGTAGGCATATGTCCACCAAAATTTTACAGATGGGCACGCATTTCAAGAAATGACGTAACGATTAACCTATCAGCGATAACGCATGCATGATTGTACTCAACGCAAACATATCGTCTATGGCCACCTTTGTCGTCTAATCGAGTGTTCGCGTGGTGCACTTGTCACTTCCAGAATAAAATTGTAATTTAAGCTATACCGTTAACAGTCCAAGACCATCTTCGCTGACAACGAGAACTTGCCTCATGACAGCTCAAATTCAGTTTCGTGGTGTCCTTGGTTCTGATATCTTCCAGTGGCCATGGAGCCGCGGTGTTCCTATTGGTGCCTGGATCATGTCCGTTCTGACTCCACCGCAACCCGACAAATTCATCAACGTGCTGCAGTACAAATCACCACTTCGGCGGAGGCGGTCGCCATGATTTCCTAAACAATCCGGGAAAGGGAAGCCAAAGTTATGCCAGTATTGTTGCTGAACTCATTCAGTGATCAAGTATGAATGACTTGAACGAAAAAGTATGTCTTCAGAAAGTATTTTAGTTGTGAATTCCCTTTGGGTTGTTTATCTTGATTTGACTTATTGACAAAGCATCCCTATAGAGTGACGTGTGAATCCGGTTTCACTATCAATATGCGACTTTGGCGAGCACAAACCTTGCATTTTAAATACATAAAGGTAAATGGGGAACTAGTTCAGAATTGATTACAAATCACAGTTCACGTATCGAAAAAAGCGTTTTGAAATACGGTACTGATGATCCATTCTCAACAGTCATCGATCTTTAAGCAATGCGATTTATTTTTATGTGCACGGAAGCTTCATCATAAAATTTTGGTAAGTTGTTCAGTGCGTTAGCGAGGAATGTTATTCACATAGATATGACAGTAGCAATATCCTTCTTCCTCGCAGAAAAACCAGCAGAATAGTGATGTAGTTAGGTTAATATTTCGGCAACATGCCTTTATGGAAGCAATAGCAGAACCTAACTATTTATCCATTATTCTATTTTTTTCCAGGAATAAAGCTATTACTACTGTCTTAACTAAAATTGTGTCTTGCAAAACTTGTATACAAAAAGAATACAACATTTTATTTGCACTGACCGATATGTGTGAATCACCAAGATTGCCTAGCTTAATTTGCGACACCATCGGTCTGATGATTACGCGCCTTTCATCATCTCACTTGTTGGCCTCAAAGGAAGGCATCGAACTGGTTCGTAAAAAACGACAGGTGGTTGGATTATTTTCTGAAAAGTGCGCAAGGTCAAAGTGGTTTGTGTATAATGCTGAGAACTCTGATGACATTGATAAGCTACGGATCATCAAAACTGTTTACGCTTGTTATGCCCTATGTGCGGCAAGAATTAATTGTACTCATGCACAGCTCCGGCCATTGCGGAAGGGAAATTGAGAAATACAGAATGTCAGGTGCTAAGAAGGGAATTTAGAGTGAAGCACGGAATGTCTGACAGTTTGAGATAAGCAAACTATGTCAATTTACGTCTTGGCACGCTTGGCAGCGAGCGCATTGGATGTTCTAGTAACAATTACTTGATACGCGATCGGTCATCTAGGTATAGAAACTCGTCTCTGAATATCAAAGAGAAATTACCAGCTCTCCATTCTGGTTGATTGGAGCCATCGATCTCAGCATGAGCGCTTTGATCTCCGTAAGAGGACTCAGCTCAGATGCAAATGAAAGCCTGCAGTGCAAATTGGGGTTTAAAGAAACGTTAACCGAATGCCGGCGTGATCTTTTGCTACGCCAGCGGAAGATTGTACGATGAAGCAGAACTGGATTTGGTGCCTATTAGAGACTCCGCTAAAATTAGATGTGGGTACAATGCGTCCAGTGACTTGTATGCATTCTGTGGACGATCGCAAGCAGGGTATGTGCTGTAAAAAGAACATCGCTTATACGCGTAACGCAACAGGTTCGGCCACATAGTCAAACGCAACGAGCGGCAGGTAAATGCATGTGATGGAGCCGTGTTGTCTGAGGACTATACAACCCAGTCTCCGCATCGGTCTGCGCATCTACCAGCCTTGCCGTACGCTTTGGCGGATGGCGCCAGTTGCATCGGAGCTCTGGACGGTGCGCTCTGGCGGGAGGTGTCCGTTACACCGGAGCTCTGGACCGTGCGCTCTGGCGGAAGGCACCGGTTGCACCGGAGCTCTGGACGGTGCGCTCAGACTTTCACACCAGAGCTTTGGGCCTTGCGTGCGGCGGGAGGTGTCAGTTACACCGGAGCTCTGGACCGTCCGCTCCGGCTGGAGGCTCCAGTTGCACCGGAGCTCTGGACCGGCCGGCGGACGAGAGCGGCGGCAGCGAATGGCCGGGCTTGACTGGCCAGTCAGGTCAATCAGTCTGCAGCCAGTCCGAGGGCGCCCACCATGCTGCGAGATCGAGTTCAGGTCCCGGCAATACGGCTGATGTGGAAAGATATGTACCTCTCTTTGTGGATAATGAAGCATGAAATTGGCAATGCATACAGCGAGATTGGCATAGGAGTCGCCAGACAACGCTGTATGAAGTCATTTGTAGTGAGAGAATAAGATCGGAACCTGCCCTCAGTTTTTCACGACATGCCTCAATGCACACAACTGACAGGAAACTTACGAAAACAACGCAATACGAAAGCTACATAACAGTTGCAGGCCAGTAACTCATCGTGTGCATGCCGTGAAACCCATTTGTACTTAAAAGTATCATATAAATGAAAATGAGTTGTAAAATAGTTGCAGTAAAACATTATTTCAAATTTTAACGGACAATCTAAACCATATTTTACCTGCATAAAAAGTATCAGAAACGAATTTGATAGCCAGCCCGCAAAAAGGTTCCGGTCGCTTGTCAAAAGATGCTTTAAGCTGAAATTTTCAACCTGTTACACATTTGCTTCATCTTCCACGATATGCGCACCACCATTACGGGCACGCAGAGTTTGCCTTGACCCTACGTCTGGTGCGTTTATTCCCTCACTAGTCGCGTGTCTACCTTATCGGAGGGCAGATGGCTGTTCTGACGGCGCGTCCCAGCGCTCTATGACAACGTGTCTCTGTTGTCCCCGGCGGCACGTCCCGGCGCTCTATGACAACGTGTCTCTGTTGTCCCTGGCGACACGTCCCGGCGCTCTATGACAACGTGTCTCTGTTGTCCCTGACGTCGCGTCCCGGCGCTCTATGACAACGTGTCTCTGTTGTCCCTGGCGGCACGTCCCGGCGCTCCATGACAACGCGTCTCTGTTGTCCCCTGGCGGCACGTCCCGGTGCTCTATGACAACGTCTCTGTTGTCTCTGACGGCACGTCCCCGGTGCTCTATGACAACGTGTCTCTGTTGTCCCTGACGGCACGTCCCGGCGCTCTATGACAACGTGTCTCTGTTGTCCCTGGCGGCACGTCCCGGCGCTCTATGACAACGTGTCCCTGTTGTCTCTGACGACACGTCCCGCGCCACATGACAACATGTCTCTGTTGTCCCTGGCGGCACATATATGTCCCTCGTGGTGGCCCGTCTGTTCTCTGCGGCGGAGTTTCTTTGTCAGGCATGAAGGGACCCCCTCTGCTTTCTGACGGCGTGTGCCTATTCATCCCAACTCTGTTCTCTCACACAGTTATTCTTTGTCTGACAGCACGTAACTCTACTCGATACAGGAAACAAAGGTCTTCAGCTCCCGTTTTGCGGCATTATGAGTTAGGAGCTCTGAATTTCAGTATCGATCTTCATTTTACCGGGGGAAATAAGCGGTGGAGTCATCCCACTTCACATTTCACTCGTGGCCATAAATCCAGCTTGAAACGTTGAGTGCTGTCGATATAACCAATGCTTGCACTCCAAAGTTGCCTTATCAGTACGTTCTGGCATATTTAGGATTGATATCTTAGCATAAGAACTCATATACTCATACTCAGTATCGTACGCTGTACTCCACATCGTTACATTCTGCACTCATATCACGCAACCGCTGCATCCTGACGTCGGGCGTTTGTCGTCGTCTGCCGACGCGCATTCCCGCTCTCTAACACCGCCTGCGTGCCGCTGCCTCAGGTGGTTACTCGATCGTCGGTGCCGCCGCGCTAGCCGGCTCCGTCACGCACACCATCTCTACCTCAGTAATCGTGTTCGAACTCACCGGTCAGATCAACCCACATCCTCCCAGTCATGGTGAGAGCACGCTCGCGTTGTCCAGGTCTTGGTGAAAGCATGCCCACATCGTCCAAGTATTGGTGAGAGCACGTCCACATCATTCAGGCCTTGATGAGGGTACTCGACGTCATCTAAGCCCAGGTGAGAGCACACCGACATCATCTATGTCTTCGTTAGAGCACACCGACATAATCTATGTCTTCGTTAGAGCACAACGACATCATCTATGTCTTCGTTAGAGCACACCGACATAATCTATGTCTTCGTTAGAGCACACCCACATGTCATAGGTCTTGATGATAGCTCGCCTACATCATCTAGATTTTAGTGAGAACACGCACATCCTGCCATTCATGGTAAGAAGGCGCTTTGGCATTGTCAGTCTTGGTGATGCTCCGCCTGAACATCACGCATACTATGGCAAAATGTACATATCTCGTCAGACCAGGTGAGGGCACACTCGTCAAATGAAGCGCATCTTGTTGATGTCAGATTATGCCCATTTTACCGCCAGTCATGATGACAGCACGCACAGCCCGCCAGTACTGGTAAGCTAGTGCTACTTCAGACGTGCTAGTGTAGCGGCGGTGCATACAATGACCGATGTTTTGCCGTCCATAGCGGAAACGCGGTGCACAACTGCACGAGCTTCTGTTTTGGCCGTCGCCTCGTTAGGTGGGTGGGTGCCACCCCGAAACGGCATGTCTGATGTCACAATAACAAAGCGATAAGAGATAGCGTCGTAGCCTTTGGCTTAGCCGGCGTGTTGCGTGTTGTTTTTCGCAAATAAATGGCCCCACGTCATGTTGAGCCGCTGAGCTACGACGTGGTCGCCGAAACTGTGCTTCTCAGGATCGCTCAGAGCAGACTCGAATGATTATTTTAATGATGAAGATCACCCAGCTGATCAACCATCACCAGTGGTTTCGATGATCACGACTAATCTTACCGCTACCGCTACTGCTACTGCTACTGCTGACTGCTAATCTTACGATATACAGGCGACGTTGACAGGCCATTGATTTAAGTGTACCGAAACAGACTTATTTATTGGCTAGTGACCTACCTATAACCTTTCAGGTCGTTCGTGACTGGCTAAAAACCTTGTGATGGTTGTCAGGACGGAACAAGGTCACCAAGTCTGATAACTATGGATAAGCATTTATGGTCCTAGGCCCTAGACGATTTATGCACTGAATGTTATCCAGAGTGTAATTTTGTGCATGGTTGTCAAAAAAGTACCAATTTGTAAGCGGGGAGGCTGCATCATTTTTTTCGCCACTGAAATGTGTATGAGAGGAAAAGCACAAGTTGAGCTCAACCAGCGAGGCCGGAATAGCTGGATTCCCTTGACACTAAGCGTCTTACTTATTTCCGTTTCGCGGCTCTAGCTCAATTTGTACGAAATGACAAGATCCCCCCTCCCCTCTCTCCCTCGGCAACGACGCGAGCGAAAATAGGTCCCGTCCGGCGAGGGCTATGGACTGCAGTTACAGAAGTGCACATCCGAGTTACGGCTGACAGGGGCGTGCTGCTTCCGTGCACTCTGAGGAACCACTGAAAGGGAGTAATCTGGCCGATGTGCTGCGGAATGCTGCACCCTCACAGGCGCGTCCGTCTGATATTCCGTTCCAAGCTGGTGAGGCGCGCGTTGATATCTGCAGCCGGTATAATGAAGGATGAATATGGAGCCTATAGCGTCATTGGAGCATGGGGAAGATAATCAGGGATGCGTTGCCCGGGTCTACTTCTTTGCTGTTCAGGTCTTTTTGCCTTGTCTTTATTGTCGATGGCTCATACTTCCTGACAAATCTGTCGTGAAACGGCACCGCGCCGGCAAAGTGACCCGGCACTCTATTGAACCGGACACGCGACCACGTGTTGCAGCTGCCGGCTCTTTAGGGTAGCTGACACATGACACCTGAGCCCCTCATGTCCTTGATTCAAACAAGGAAAGCCTTGAGCTCCTGGCTGTTCGGCATTGTGAGCTCAGAGTTCTTGTGATGGCTGTTATCGACCTGTCATATACGTGGAGATATTGGTGGAACCACGGTACCAGGCAATTATTGGATATGTTTCAATAGTCAACGTTTGATGCTGTGCTTGCAATCACTGGTGATTATAGCACAATCATAAGCATTTGTGAACATGAACACAGCTTGAGACGCCGAGTGTTGACAATGCAATCAATGTTTGTTTGATAGCGTCGTTAAACCAGTATTCCCTGGCTTCTTGGCGGTCTAAAATTGTCAGCATCAAAACTCGCACACCTGACCCTGGATCACTGATGACGCTGCAGGCGAGCTGACTCATGATACCTAATGTCGTCTCGTGTTCTAATGCGTTCTCGTCACGCGCCTGCCGTCCATGACCCCCCCCCCCCCTCTTGGGCCTATAGGGCACCAAAATATCGTGGCAAAGGTCACCACAATTTCATTTTTGGTCAACATAACCTTTATTTCCGGGACACATCGAAGCTCAGGGGCACCACAAACGCCGCCAAATATTCAAGTTCAACTCAAACCTAGCAAATAATTAACCACAAGCAACAAAGTTGCCTAAATTTGGTGGGCCATTCCGGCAGCAGATATTTTACCGATTAAAAAACAGGAATCTGAAAATAGAGGGACCGAGATTCAAGGACTTCTTTATGAGGTGGGGGGGGGGGGGGGGGGGCTATAAAGTTCCAGTAACATGCTGTCAGTTGACATATGGCACCGTACCTACATATCGGCCACCGACACCGGACACTGGACCCCCGCCGTCCGCTCTGGCGGGAACCGTCTGTGCTGGCGTCGCACTTCTGACGGACAGGTGTGGCTCTGCCTGCCGGGCCGACGCCGACGCCGACGCCCCGCTGCCACTCAGGGCGACAGAGGCGGCCGCGCGCTGTTTTGAGAGCGGCGCTTGTGACGCGGAAGAGTCACTTGTTTTCCGGCCGGGCGGGTAGGGATGCCGGCGCGCCTGATGTATTAGATGGCCCGCGGCGACGGGACGGGCGCGGCCGGTGCGGTCGTGAGTGGCGCGCGCAGGACAGCCGATCGCCGACCGCGGCGGTACCGCGGAGCAGGGCTCGGGACAGAGCCTGGTGGCTGACGGCTCGGGACAGAGCCCGGCGGCTGATGGTTCGGGACAGCCCGGTGCTGCTCGACCCGCCGCCAGGCCAGCGGTCCGCTGGCGCGACAAACTGCACGGTTAGCGGATCGACCGGCCCGGCAGCGGTGGCTTCATCCCGTGCCTTTTAACAATTTTTTTTTTGGGGGGATGACCTTAAGCCGTGTTGATGGGACGAAGCGCACGTGCTGTCTGAATGAACAGCAGAGTGGAAGAGTGAATGTGCTATCTCACGTTCTTCCGCCTCATTCCTTTTTTAAGACTTCAGAAGATAACTGAGCTTCTTCCGGCCCATGGGGATGAAGGTCATTTCAAAGGGAACATTAATCATAATGTCCCACCCTCAGTGGCCTTCCCAGAGCATTTAATCATTTTCATACAAGACAGCGGCTCACTAGAATCTGGTCCCCTTTCCGGGTTTCGTGACGGAATAAATGAGGTCGGCCATTTGCGCATATGACCCCACTTAATGTGAATAACGGGGTCCATAAAAATCAGGTAGTGCGGGAGACGTGACCATAACGATACAAATGAGGATGCATGAACATATTTCGGCGTCAGTCTCTGCTGGACTGAGCTGCATTACGTTCATTTGCAGGTCATTTTAGCAACGCTTTGCCCAGGCTCGATGATTGGCATCAGGCTTGTAGCTATGTCTGGAGACGTGGGCTCCGCTCAATACGCGCCACACACTGCATGTTCCTGTGGCACCTTGCGTGAGGGGCAGCACAGAAGTGGCTGTGCTGTGACCTGCGTGCGAGGAGCGGTGCCGAGCGGTACAACATAGCCCGCCGGGTTATGAGGGCAATAGCGGGCCGGTTATTACCGGTTATTACCGGCAGTGCTCGTTGTGGTCATATCTGAGGTCCTACGTCCGGGATGGACCGTTTCAGAGCTGTGTGCCCAAGGACAGCGAAGTGGCAGGCTAATGCTCAGACCACCGGGTCGTGGACTGTACAGTGGACTGCTTTGTGGACAGCGCAGTGGACTGTGCTGTGGACCATGCGGTAGGCGGTGTGATTTACCGCGCGGCAGACTGTTTTTTGTTTGTTGTTGTTGCGTTGTTGACATAGTGGACTGCGCAGTGGACGATGCGTTGGCCCATGCGATGCACTATGCGGTGGACTGTGCGGTGAGCTGTGCGGTGGACCGTACGGTGGAGTGTGCAGTAGACTGTGCAGTGAACGGTGCGGTGGACCATGCGATGGACCGTGCGGTGGACTGTGCGGTGGACCGTGCAGTAGACCGCGCTGCGGATCGTGCGGTGGACCATGCGGTGGACCGTGCGGTAGAGACTGTGCGGTGGCATGCGCGGTGGACTGTGGGGCGGGCTGTGCAGTAGACCGTGCGGTGGACCGTGCAGTAGACCATGCGGTGGACCGTGCAGTAGACCGCGCTGTGGATTGTGCGGTGGACCGCGCGGTGGGCTGTGCAGTGAGTCGCACGGCTGGCTGTGGTGGTGCTCGGCCTGCTAGACCGCAGCGTCGAACAGAGTACGGCTCTCTCTGCCGGGGCACAGGGGCTGATTGGGTCCACGCGCTATTCAGCCACGTCCGCACCATGGACGGGAGCTCGGCATGATGACATTGTCCAGCGCGATGCTTGTATGCATGATTAATTAAACCGGCCGCTGCGCATCTGGAGGCCGGCTGTTGTGTGCGTTCAGCATATAATTTGCCTATATATTTTGGTAATGCCTGTGGCATTTGGCTACTGCATGCATTTGTGCGTTGGAGCCAAATGGCTGGATTGCATGATAAACGTTCAAATCGGATACGCATTTCACTCCATGAAAGGCTAACCTTGCCTGGAAACAATTTTCTGAGAAACATCAACCATGGCTTCTAAAGAGCGCTAAATGATTCCCGAGTGGCAAACATCCAACATTGGTTTTAAGTTGCACA